GTGGTGGTTCGCCGTGAACGTCTTCGATCCGCCGCCTAATGCTGCTCGCAACAGGGGCTGTTTGCGTGCCAAGCGATCAACGTTTGAATCCTTTCGTAAAGACCCCAATGAGGTCTCGGCCGATCCAGCCGGCCATCCTGGGCGCATTGCAGCATCGGTCTCCCAACGGTTTTCCTGCTTAGGATGGCCCCGAGGTGGCCTCGGAGACGGTCCAATATGGCCTCCAGGACGTCCACTGCTGCCCCAGGAGAGCCCAATATGACCACAGTTCTGAACACAGCTCCCACGCGCGCCCTGGCCAAGGGCGCTGCTCTCATGCACTTGTCGTCCGAGTTCCCTTACCACGACCTGGTCATATACCAAGTCGGCGTGATCCACGTTCCCAAAGCGCACCACAAGACTGCACCGCACGGCGCTGTGCGTCGGTGATCCTGATGCCATTCTCCTCCCGGAGGACATCCAAGCCCTCGAAGCTGAAGTACGGCAGCGTCTATCCGTCCTTCCCCGTGCCGACGCCCTTCTGGAGCGGTGGCGCCGGTGGCACGCGCGAGCAGAGCTCGCACTGCAGGTCGGAGTCGTTCAAGGCTTCCTGGCGCAGGCCAACGGGGGCGAGCGACCGAAAAGATCCACACCCTCTTCGCGACATGTTGCCTCCCGGCCAGCACGGCGACCAAGCAAGCCCATCGCCCTGGCGAGGCTCAAAGGGCTCGGCCAGCGCATCGCCCATGTGCTACGTGATGGTCCCCAGCGCTCTCTTGAGGGCGGCCTCCTGGACCATTCTGTACATGAATGCCTACGCGGCTACATCGATGTCGACGGCTCCGGCGCCCCTACCTACGGCAGAACAAATGACGTAGTGTCTACTATAAAGCAATCGCTCTCGAGAAAGGCTGGCTCAAGAAGCAGGTCTCGAGCGACGGGAAGCAGCTGATCAACACCTTCAACCCTGAAACTTGGCAGCGGCCTCCGGGGTCCTCAAGCCAGACGGGGAACGCCCAAATTTCACACAACGAACGACATGGCCAAGGAGTGGAAGCAGATCTGGTGTCCACCCGGCACATTCGACGGCAAGCAATGTGCAGAGCAATGGACATGGTGCGCGTCCCAGATGCGCGAGGCGCTTCCTACCTCCACGTGTCCAGCGGACTGGGTCCCTACCTACGACGATTCTGTGAAGGCTGTGAGCTGGCTATGACGGCTGGCGCTCCTCTGAACTCAAGCTCATGGCCTCCCCGCTCGAATTCCTAAGGCGGGAATTGGATGACCCGTGGTGCGACAACTGCTTCTGCCTCGCGGAGGCTGGTCTAGCATCGGAGGACGGCATCAAGTTCCAGGCGCCAGGACGCCCTGCGAGAACTTCAAAGGCAGCTCTTGTGCTGGCGCGTCGTCGGCATGCCGAAAGAAGGATCCGACGCAGAGCTGCCCAATAAGCGTGGGATCGTGCCTGCTCCGGTCCTGGCAGACGACCTGTGAGCCAAGCTTACCTGCTCCACAAGTCGCACACTACGCGCGCCAGTCTGGGACATCCGTTGTCCACGCGTGCTGCCTCTGGCTTAGAATCCTGTGAGAAGGGCGACTGCGGGACCGAGAGAGACTCATCGACATGCTACGACAACGACCCCCACGAGGTGGGGCTCGCTGCGCTGCACAAGTCGGGCACGCCCCAGCTGGTCACCGCTGTGGTCCACGCTGCGTGGACGCGGCCCCGCATTTGCCAAGTTGCAGGGGATCTTGCAGACGAGGAGATCTGGCCGACGCGCAGCCTAGCCCAATGCGATGGCCGCGCGCCCAAAGTCTTATGCGATGTTCTGTCGCCGTGGGCCATGCACGGCACCACATTTTTCTTTACGGTCTCGACTCCGACATCCAGGGCACGTCTGAGTTCGACACATGCACAAGTGCCATCGAGAACGAGTCCAAGAGGCAGAGCTGGGTGCGCGGGCAAGGGATAGCCATCGAGCACGTGGGAATTTTGAATTCTGGCTGTACCTGATGACCCCGAAGTGGACATCACGCCGGGGGCCAGCTGGTCCAAGCTTCACAAGCGCCTCGAGACCATCCGGGGCCTCCCGGAGTTCACCCGCGACCGGGCGAGGTGATGAGGGCCGTCTTACGGACAAAGTGCACGTGGTGGTGCAGAGGGCGCTCCTGGGCTCTGGACCTCAACCTGCACCCCAGATTTACAACAGTCCTCACGGCGATCGCGAGGATCACGACGTGGGGGCTGGAATGGAGTTCTTTCTTGAAACACAATTTCGGGCAATTCCTGGACGCTGTGGGCCTGGACTTCCTTGCCTTCCACAAAGACCGAAGCGTCCGGTTCGGCATTCTCGACCGAGAGCACGATCATCGAGTTGTCCGGCTGCTTGGTCGACGTAAGACGTTCTGGAGCGGCGAGGGGGGCAAGGTGGCGCACCTCCTCTGGGAAGTTTGCCAAATGCGCGCCCTCTCCACACGGAACGATGCTGAAGGCGTCGAGGAAGTCGATGTGTCGGCCTTGTCTGAGAAATCCTGGCAAACCTTTCGGGATGCTCTGACAGCAGACCGCTTTTCGAAAGTACATGCCTTCATGTGCGGAGCGACCTCTTCGCTTACCCAGGGGGGCGCAGGTGCACAGAACAACGGTGCCCTTACTGTAGCGAGGAAATATGACATAACTTGCGCCACCTCGTCTACGAATGCAAGAGCGAGTCTTTCGGTTACTTCCGGAAACAACTCAACGCCCTCTACCGCACCACGCACTCCTGGTAGAACTAACAACCACGAGTCACGACTGCGTTGGGTTGGATTACATTCCAGGCGCACCTTTCATGCAAGCGGCGCAGTGAGGTCATGGCCGCCGTAGTGCGCATGGGCTTATTGGTCCTCGATACGCTTTGGAGTGGTCGCGAGCAGATCTTTCGAAAAACATTTGCACTCTGCTTACTTTGTGTTGCCGTTCTTCATGCTTTCGGTGTCTTCCTTAACCTTATTATTTCCAGGTTCTAACCTACGATCGATAGTTCCTGCTATACACCTTGACGACGATGCTGCCAAGACGGCCAAATGTGGACCAAAGACGGCCGCATATGGCCACAAGACAGCCCAAGAGGGGCCCGATACAGCCCATGAGGGCTCAAAGAGGCTCTCCAGAAGGGTTTCTGATTCATTTTGATAGGCTTTTGAAGGAATTTCGCGTTCTCGCCGTTTGTTCGGGTTTCCGACGGCCCCAAACGGCCCCACATGCCCCCAAGAGGGCCCCGAGACGGGCCAAGCTGGTCTCAAGATGGCCACACAGACATCCAAAACGGCTTGCTGCGAAGGCCAAGCGACCCCTCGTAGGTCCCCAGAAGCCCGCAAGAGGCCCCATGATGCCTCCAAGAGGCACCCAGAGGCCCCCCGGGAAGCCCTCAGGAACCCCCAGGGGCCTCCTCCTCCTCCTCCTCCGCCTCCCTCCTCCCTCCTCCCTCCTCCCTCCTCCTCCTCTTCCTCCTCCTCCTTCCTCCTCCTCAGGCTCATTCTTTCTCTGTTCCTCCCCCACGTGCTCCCCCACCCGAGGGTTTCCACATCGGCTCGGGGCACACTTAGTCAAATAGCTTGGCAAGACTTCGGCCCAACGTTTGGCCACATAGCCAATTCGGCGTAGGCGTCGTCGATAGTTCTCGAACGACCACAAGCGGCGACTGGACAAGCTCTGGAGGAGGGAGCGAGAAGGATAAGGAAGGGAGAGTAGAAGGCGATGATCGGGCGCCGCACAAGAGAGTGTTTTGTCAGCCGCGCGCGCGCGGGCGTGCGCACTTCCTTCGCAACTCAACGGGGCCACTACTGGATCTGAGACGCATGAACATTACCTGACCTAACGCGAGCCCCGTGCGTGAGCCAGTGTGGATGAGGGCGACGCACCGGAACGTCCCAAACTCACCCATCCCGTTCCTCCCTCCACCTGGCATCCGATGCCGTGCAAACAACGGCACAACGACATAGCACGACCTACATCTTTGACAACGTCTTTACGCGGGATCGGTCCGTGAGGGTCCTGGGGCTCGAAATGACCCCAGAAACGTCCGAAGTGATCTTCCTCAACGACGCCCTGCTCCTGTTCACGACGCCCTGAAGGGAAACTGGACAGTGGCTGCCTGTCTTCCTAGAACCAGATGGTCAGCCCGCAAGGCTCGCACGGCGATGTACATCAGCCAGGCCGCATACGATTCCATTGGCGCCATACTTGGCCAAATGATCAGCACGCTCGTTCAAATATTGCCTGGTATGTGGCAGCGCGCAGAAGGGGGTAGGGGGGGGAGGGGGAAAACCTTCGTAGAAGGAAGCTGCTTCTTAGAAGGCGCCGGCTTTACATCTGCAGAGAAGACCCGCGCCTTCCATGAAGCAGGGGTGCTGCTAAGAAACCTTTCCTCTCCCCCCTCCCACCTCTGCGCGTGGCCGAGGTATGGCACGTTGCCGTGACGTTAAAAAAAGAAACGCAAGCTACATCAGCAGAACCATTCAGGGTCGGCGCGGACTTCCCGGGCCGCTTCCAGGCACCCCAACATGCCTGTTCATGTGTTTGTACCTTCGACGTGAGGAGCTGTCGTGGAAACATTACCAACAAATGTGCTGGATCTGGTGCTGGGCCAAGAGCCAGGAATTCGCGTCGACAACCAGCATGCATTACACACTTCAGCTGGCCGCCACATCCTCATCCCCATCGTCCTCGCATCGTCGTCGTCGTCCTCCTCCTCCTCCTCTCCATCTCCCTGTCTCCTCCACTTCAGCTGCTTGTTCGCCCAGCCTACCGCCCCCCTGACTGGACGCGCTGCTAAGATGAGCTGCGAATTTCAAGTCAATGATAAGCGATAAATCTGATGACAAGTCAGACGCCTGCCGTGTGACAGCTGACACGGACGAACATGATGGTGTCCAACATGCGCGCTCCAACGTGCATATCCCGCCGCATTTTAAGGGGCTGCGGAAAGACAGCAGAGCGCCAACGAGAGAGCAGCGATGGCGAGCAACCACGAGCGCGCCTCGTTGATCTGCTCATTGGTGCGGCTCGCCACGCCGAAGGCTTTGCCCTGACCCGCCCTGCGCCCTCACAGCTCGCATGGAGCCGCTCGCGCCGCGATTGCAACAAGCTCGAGGGGGAGAAAGGCGCATCCGCTAAAAGTTGCATCCCAGACCCCTCCTGGGGTCCGTCCGGTGCAGCTTTTCACCCCAAGGCCGTTGACGGTCCCAGGGCCACAGAACGGCACCCAGAAGCTGAAAAAAGCGACAAAGCTGAACAAAAACAACAAACACCCTCTCAAACCCAGAACCTCGAACCTCGCCCCCCCCTCCCCCCTCCCCTTCCTTTTCTTCCGGCCAATAGCAGCAGACCAGCAGCCAGCTCCAAGCAAGCGCGACCCCGCAGGCGCGATTCGGCGGCGCGCCCCGGGGGGGAAGTGAGAGGGGGCAGGACACCTCAGAAGGCGGCGAGGCTTCTCCGAAGCCCTGCGACCTTCTGAGAAGCCGTCTCTGCCTTCGGAGAAGGCTCCGAAAACTTCTAAGAAGGCCAAAGGCCTTCCGAGCCTTTTTGGAAGCCCCGCCCCCTCTGCATTCCCCCCTGGGCTGAGGTCGGGCATGTCCTCCTACAGGCGGATTTTCGAAGACAAAGAGCAAATAGTCAACAAATAAGCGCAACCAGTCAAAAGAGCACGAAACATCGTCCCCAGGCTATTCTTGAAACTATTCTTGAATATTCTTCCTGTAGAGGGACATGCCCGACCTAACCATGGGCTCGCCGGGCTTCCCCGCGCCTCGGAACCCGCTCTGCCTCGGAACCTGTGGGGGAGAGGGGGAAGGCCTCTTCGAAGGAAGCTGCTCCTCAGGAGGCGCCGGCCCCATATCTATTAGCTAAGGCCCGCGCCTTCTGAGGAGCAGCCTCCTTCTGAGAAGCCTCCCCCCCCACCCGTCTGCGCATGGCTGATCTCGGAGCCCTCTCTCTCGGCCTCCCGGGGCTCGGTGGCCTGGCGGCGTGCCGAGCCCATGTGGGGCGCCGCGGCGAAATTTTTGAAGGCAGAGAGCCGCTCTTGGCCCTCGCCCAAATCGGCAAACTTGTGGTGTCGGATATTTCTCTGTGGACAGAGGCCATGTTCTGGGGCCGAGGGAAGTCTGGACATGACGAGCCGGCCTCAGAAGAAGTTGGCGAACACTCATGCCACATTCATCCATCAATGCCCCCCCCCGACGCTCAATGTTGGCGGTGGGTTGAATGAGTTGGACTTCGACCGCAGTCTTCCCCGCGCGTGCCAACCTTGAGTTTAGGGGAGAGGGGGGGTGTCCACTAATTGCTTCCCTCCACCGAACCCTGGGCAGAAGAAGATGGGTCCAACATTTTTTCACGGTCCCGAGCTATTTTTGTCGCGCCCTTTTTTCCTTGTCGATCCCAAGCGCTCCCGCGCATGGGCGCATTTCAGCGATACCCCCAGACCCCCCGACGTCATGATTTTTTGTTCCTAACGTCGACCCCCAGACGGCACGGTTTGGGCTATTTTTCCGGCCTCCGGGGGCCCTTACCGGGCCTCGGGACAATCAAAAAACGATTCAGGATGAAAAACCGGTCCAGGGGAATGGATCTTTGGTCATGATTCGAGGGGGTCTGGGTCCGCCTTCGCGCGTCGCTGTTGTGACCCCTGACTGTGGGCTCGCTCGCGCAAAGCACGCGGCCTCTACACTGGTCGCGCCTCAGGGCGGCCAGTCAAGGGCCCGAGGCTCAGAGGGCGGGAGGACGGGGAAGCGGAGAACTCCTCCGTCGCCTCGCCTTCGCTTTCCTCTCTCTCCCCCCTCCTGCTCGTGTCCTCGTCGTCGTCATGGTCGTCGTCGTCGTCGTTCTCCGAAGCTTGTTGGCCTGCGCGGGGTTGCGCCTGTGCAGACGTCGCTTCTTGGAAGCCCCGATGCCCGTCGTCATGTGAAACGTAGGGTCACCTAGGACACGGTATACAGCGCACGGACTCACGCCAGGGAGGTCCTTTTGCATCCAAGTGTTCCCTACTTCCTCGTGGTCCACAAGGGGGTCCAGCTGAAAGGGGGTGGTGCAGTATATTTGGGGTAATTGTATTGCAAATGTACTGCGCCAAAGAATTGGATTGCATCGTATGGCAACGAATGCATTGCACGCGACAGTCCACCAATACATCTGCGCACCCCCTCAGATCTATTGCACCAAATCTGTTGCACCACCCCCTTTTCGCTGGATTTGCTGGATCCCCTTTTGGGTCAACCAGACTAATAGCGTGGCCTCCCGTGGCCTCTTCTGGAGGCCTCCCTCGAGGGGGAAGGGATGCATCGAGCGTTTTGTCCTCAACAGCGTCTGGCTAGGGAGGCTTGTACTCTTTCACGTAAGGACCACAAAATGGTCCCACAAGGGGTGATGGGGAGCCCGAGACCGCCTGGTCTGGCAACCGTTTCGCCGGAGACTTCCTCGCAGCTTGTTCAGGAGTCATGCTCTCGCCTCAATGTCGGCTCCACTTGTTTGCCTGGACGGCCGCAACCCCTGGTATGTGACACACCAGGGGTACACATGGCCGTGCTGTCACCCGTGTCCCTCATTGCCGACCTCCTACTCCTTGACCCGCCTCTGCACCCTTGCTGCTACTAGCGTGCTTTGCTGGGGCATTTGTCCAGGAGAAAGCGATTGACGGCAGCTGAGAACCTCGAGCAACATATCGTTGCAAAGCGCTTGGAATCTTACTCTTCTGCTGCACGTTTACACCCTGCCACTCTGATGTCTACGATAGCTCTGGCCTTTGCTGCAAGAGCGGGCGGCGTGGCAAGACGCTTGGTCAGGACTGATTCACTGCCCAGAACCCAACATCATGATCTGACGTGTGGGGGAAGGTCCTGGGCGAAACTGCTCCTTACCGAAGGGCTTTCCCTGTGACAACTTTTTCATCCTGAACGGCTTTTGACAATCCCAGGGCCCAGCAGAAGCACCCAGAAGCCCAAAACAGCGAACAGTCTCCATACACAAGTCCCTCGGATTCCTGCTTCCCCATGATAACACATCTAGCACAACCACATGACTGAAGAAGTGTGTGCGCTCACACCATCACGTGCTCTCGACAATACCAGTTGCACATGCAAGATGCCTCTGCTTGCCGCTCGCCCTCCACTCGATAGCAACCCATACACGCCGCCTCACAAATGGCAAGACCTGCATGTGGGCAACTTTTTCTGTTGTGCCCGCATGGTCGTGCCAATGCTGCTGGCGCCGCCCTGAGCTGCGAAACCGACGCCTGTTTATTATGAGCGGCCAAGCGAAAAGAGAGCGAGAGAGAGAGAGAGAGCGAGCTCCGCAGCAGACAGCGTGGGAACGACAGCGCGAAGGGAGCGGCGGATCCGCGGCACCCCGCTTCCGAACCATGCGGCGCGCGCCCGACGTGCGGCTCAGCCCTCGGAGCCTGAAGCAGTCTGGGCCGCGCCGCCAGCGCTCCCGGCCTCTGGCTGCGTGCCCTCGGCCGGGCTCGCCTGCGCGGGGGGTACCGGGCTGCCCGCCACGGATCCTGCGACGGAACAAGCGCCCGCAGGGCCCGGCGCCGGGCTATCGCCCGTGGCGCCGCCCGCTGTGGTCACGGAGTTGCGGCCGTCCTGCCCGCGCGTGAGCAGGTTCTGGAAGAAGCTGGCCAATGAGGAATTGTCCGTGGCGGCGGGCCCTGCCGACGTCGCCGAGCCCCGCTTGGGCGCGAGCGCGTCCGCTCCCGTGGCGCCGGCCGCGGCCCCGGCCGCGCCGCTGCCCTGTGCGGCGGCGGCCCCAGCGCCGGCCGCGGGGCCGCCACTGGCGCCCGCGGCGCTTGTGACCCGGGCCCCGGCCGCAGTGGCGCCGCCGATCCTCTGCAGGATGCCCGTCGAGCGCTTCAGGAAGGTCTGCATGTCCTCGCACTCCTCGAGGGCCGGGGCGGCGTCGGCGGGCGCGTCCAGGGGCGCGATGCGGGACTCGAAGGACAGCTCCAGGCCCCCGCCCTGCAGGCCCTCCGCCGCCTTCTGGATCTTCTCCTGGCTGTCCCAACCACTGGGCACGAAGACGGCGTCTCGCGAAGGCTGGTTGGCGACCCTCTTGAAAGAGAACCCGTAGAGCCTGTGAACGAGGTATTCGTACAATACATCCACGTTGGTGCTGCTCTTCGCCTGAACCATCGTGTACACGATCGCAGCCCCATAGCTCAGGCACTCGTTCCGGATGTAGACCTCTATCGCCTCACCCCAGCCGATCGTCTTCTGGTTCTCGAGCGCGCTCGCCCCGTCGGCACGCGTCACTACCACGACGACGGGAATGCCGAGGTTAATGACCAAGGACGCCGCACCAGACTTCGCGGCCTCGGCGCCGGCGTCGCCCCCCGCGCTGGCCGCGACCCTGGCGCGGAGCGCGTCCTGCTCCTCCAGCGGCAGCTCTCCGAGAAGCTCCGCGGTGACTTTCTGCAGCACGTCAAACCATGCGCGCAGGTCATCCATCATCGTCCAGGGCTCCTTCAAGTCAAGGCAGACCACGGCCGCGCACTTTCCCAGCCCGCCAGGCTTCAGGCGGCTGCGCAGCAGCTTTGCCTGGCCCACGTCCTCGAGCAGCAGAACGCTGCAGGCCGCAGGGCAGGTGGTGTCGTAGGCGATGTCTGGGTCTCGGACGCCGAAGTACGCATAGTCCAGGCCGACCGCCCGGCTGTGGTCCGACTCGGGCGCCGAGTCCCTCTCAGCCTCTAGCTTCTCGGCCTTCGGGTCGGAGTGCGCCAGCAGCGCGTGGACAAGCGTGCGCTTGCCGACACCTGCCCTGCCCAGCATCAGCAAGGTGGCATCGGGTGTCTTGGCTGCGGTGGCGATCTCCTGGAGGATGCTCTCCCAGATGCCGCTGGCCACCGGCTCCTGGGAAGGCCCCATATGGCGCCCTCCAGCGGCGGCGGGCCCCCCGCGCGCCACCCAGGCGGCCGCCTTGCGGGTGGGGCGGGGCTGGCCGCCGCCGCCCGAGCCAAGATGGCTTGAGCCAGAATGTCTACGGACCTGCATGTGGGGCCCAGATGCAGGGTGCGCGCGCTTCCTTCGAGGCACTTCAAGCCCGACGCATACTGAGTGAGTCCCACCCGGCCTTTGGGCGACAGGTGGTCTAACAAGGGTCTCCGTCCTCTTTCACAACCCCTCTTCACTGCGGGGAGGGAAACCCTCCCCCTCCCCTCCCTGAGGTTTTTTTGGAGGGATCGCGAGGTGTCGGAGGCTCCTTTTTCGGCCATTGGGAGGGACATTTTTTGCCACCCCTCATGGGGATCGTGGCCCCCGAGGGGGGGACGCAAATCGAGTACCCCGCCTCTTTGGACCGACCGCCTCCAAGATGGCCCCAAGAGGCCCTCCAGGGCTCCCAAGAGGCTCCCAAGAGGGCCCAAAGAGCGTCCCAAGAGGCCTCCAAAAAGCACCCGAGAGGCCTCCAAGAGACTCCCGAGCGGCCCCCGAGGGGATCGATCTCCTCCAAGATGGACCCAAGAGCGCCCCCAAGTTTTCCCAAGAGCGCCCCAAGAGGACCCCAAGACTGCTCCAAGACGGCTCCGAGTGGCCAAGGTGGCCAAGATGGCCACTGCGAGGGTCAATGAGGGGACGCACATCGAGACCCCCCCTCTTTTGACCGACCGCCTCCAAGATGGCCCCAAGAGGCCCTCCAGGGCTCCCAAGAGAACCCCAACGAGGCCCTGAAGAGCGCCCCAAGAGGCTCCAAGAGGCCTCCAAAAGGCCCCCGAGATGCCCCCAAGAGACCCCCGAGCGGCCACCAAGAGGCCCAAGAAGCTCCCCCGAGGCATCCACGACCCGTTCTCGTCTTCGTCCTTCTCCTCGTCCTCCTCTTCGTCCTCGTCTTCGTCCTCCTCCTCGTCCTTGTCCTCGTCGTCCTCTTCGTCCTTGTCCTCCTCCTCTTCCTCCTTGTCCTCCTTCTCCTCCTTCGTCTCCTCGTCCTCTCGATCTCGTCCATATCCTTCGTCCGTGTCCTCGTCCTTTCCCTCCGCCTCCTCCTCCTCCTCCTCCTCCTCCTCCTCCTCCTCCTCCTCCTCCTCCCCCATCCTCCTCCTCCTCCTCCTCCTCCTCCTCCTCCTCGTTCTCGTCATCTTCCTCGTCTTTGTTATCCTTCCACCTCGCCCTCACTCTCTTAGTCCTCGTCCTCCTTCACCTCCTCGTCCTGCTCCCCTTGCCTCCACCCCCGCCCTCCTCCTCCTCCTCCTTTTCCTCCTCCTCCTTCTCCTCCTCCTCCTCCTTCGCCCTTCCCCCCTCCCACGCGGGCCCCGAGATGGCCCCAACACGCCGTCCAGGCTGGCCTCCCTCGCTGTTTGACTATGCATGTCTCTTCCTCTCTCCCCCCGTCAACTCTCATCGGCATCGTTTCTGGATGGGCTGGTGGGGATACGGGAATCGTCAAGAATTCACTAATTCCTCCAAGCTGCGTGAACACTCTGACCTCTGTACCCCGTCTTATACCACTGTCTCAGAACACAGGGGCAGTGGATTCCAAATGTGGGCAACTGGCTCTGATATGATGTTGCTTTCATCCCTCCCACGCCTTGGTGTTCGCCAGCATCTGCTTGAGCCTAACGTCGGACGACTTCATCTGCTCCTCCAGCTGTCGTGCCTGCGACGATCTGCGCACATCGTGCCATGCCGTTCGCAATCCTGCAAGCGGGTTCCTGCAATGCCTCCGCAATCTTGTTGCGCTGCGTGCCCGAAAACGAACAACGCGGATGTCCCGCAAGGCGCCTGGGGACAAGCAACATGGACAATCAATGCGTACAAATGTGAATGCATTCCATCCGTCGGCATTTCGCTGTTGCTTGCTGGCTCTGTGTGCCCGCTCAAGAAACGGAAGAACACCCTCAACACGGCACGGCGAGGACAGGGACATGAACGAGAATCTGGACGAGGACCGCGCGCCTTCTTCTCCTCGTCCGTCACGACCAGCCATGCTTGCCACACCTGGGCCACCAAACCTCCCCTCCGTGATACTCGATCTCTCTCAATGAGGACAATCTGCACATGGTGCCCCGTGGCTATCCGCACGCAGAGCAGCTGCCCCGCCCTCTCCATCCGCCGACTCTGTGCCGGCGCCCTGCGGCCACCCTGGCCCTCCTCCTCGGGCGCACGCCGGCCCAAGGCAAGCCGCGCAACGCAGCGTCGTCATCAAATCGAATGGGAATGCCTCTGCTTTGGTCCCTTGCCATTCCCACCCCCATGGTTCGGAATCCAAGCTTTCAGCATGCCAGAAGATGGTTCCGAAAACCCGTGCTGAAGCCGTCTTGGGAATCTTTTGGGCCGTCTTCGAAGCCTTTGAGGCCTGCGCATGCGTTTAGGGCAATGAGGGCCTTCGGGCCAATCTCAAATCCCTCGTTGCTATGGTCTCGGCTCGCCTATGAAGGCGGCCGAGTTCCTTCGAGTTAAGTCAACCTGTGCTACAGTCAACCCGTGCCATAAGGATGCGCGGTAAGGGTGCAAGGGCCTTGGAAAGCCATGTCGGCAATCTGCGGGCGGGGCGCGGCCAGGGAAACCGGCCAAGGATGGGCCGAAGGGCAGGCATGCAAGGGTCACCTTAGAAAATTGCTCACTCTTGCTGTGCAGGTTGACTGTGTATCCCTGTTGACATGCATCCTGCACGGAAGACCCCCCTATTGATGCCCCCCCCTGAACTCCCACGACTTTTCTCCGACGCCTCACCTTGCCCCAAGTTTCCTTTCGGACAGCTACCAGGCCTCCCCGGCCAGCCGCCCGCACTCCTCTCAACGCCGCGGACGGCCCCAAAAGGCGTGCAACGACTCCCAACATGTAAACGGCAAGCTCGTATCGTGTCGACCCCAACTTTGGTTTTTGACACTGCGTGGATTGATCAACCTGGAACGATCGGCGGTGTTTCGATCGCCCGACCGTTCCATTCAGGCCGATTCTGGGCCACTGGCGGCGTTCAACCTTGAACGTCCGCGGCAAGGCCGCCGCCGATCGACACGACGCGAACGTACCGTAAGAGCGCCTAAGGATGGCTCCAAATGGCCCCAGCATGGCCACAACACGACCTAGCAGGGTCCCAAGAGGGCCGCAGGAAACCCCCAAGAGGGCCGCCAGAGGCACAATGCATGGATTTCCCAACAATTTTGATCGTGTTCTCGCCTGTTCGGGCTTCTGACAGCCCAAGACGCCCCCAAAGGCTTTTGATATCGTCCCAAGACGGCCCAAGGGGCCTCCAAGAGCGCCTGAACACGGCCCAAGAGGGCCCCAAGACGGCTCAAGAGGGCCCCAGAGAGGCGTCCAAGAGGGCTTCATGAAGGCCCAGGAGGCTTCCAAAACGGCCCCAGAAGACCCCAAGATAGTCCAAACCCCAAGATGGTCCAAAGGCCCCCAAGGTGCCCTGAAGGCCTCCAAGAGGCCCCCAAGATGCCCTATAAAACCTCTAAGCGACCCCCCAAGAGGCCCCCAATCTGCATCGCAAAATCTCTTAATAAGCCCCCCAAAACCCAAAGACGGCCCAGTAACGGACACAACCTTGATGTGAACAAAAACGCTCAACGCCAAGGGTCACAAGAGCGGGCTGCGCCATGAGCTCTCTCGGGCAAGTGCCTGGAACGACGTCGTGGATCCTGGCTCATGCAACATTTGGTTTAATCTTCAACTTTCTCTCGCCTCTCGATGCCTTCCAACAACTGCGCTTCGCCGAGGGCGTTTCTAGCGTGCCTGGGCCGTCCCGAACATGCGCCAGAGGATTGAATTATGGCCCGACGACCACTCCGAGGAGGGATGGTGTGCTCGACCTGCCGCTGCCCTCCCGACATTTCACCAACAACTGCGTCTCTCCGGAATGGCCATCAATTTTTCCAACAACCTGTGGGAAGTTAGCCCGACATGACGTTTACCTCACTCACAATGTATACCTGGAACCCCTCGCCATCTGGACCAAGACCCCATTCACATTTACCACACTCGCCCGCACAATCCATGATCATCACCGTGACGGCCCCTTCCCTCATTGCCGTCAGCTCAGTCGCGGTCATGATTTGAGGCGCTGCCGTGGCCATGCCCGCTAAGAATACCATGCGCCAGCTAAGAGCGGTAAACGCAGCCCAAGCGGCCAAACTCGTTTATAACCTTCGCTTTGGTGTGATAGGAGGAGGAGGAGCAGGAGGAGGAGGACGAGAAGAAGGGGGAAAAGGAAGAGGAGGAGCAGGAGGAGGAGGAGGAGGAGGAGCAGGAGGCGGAGGAACATTCCGAGGAGGAGGAGGAGGAGGAGGAGGCTCCCCAAGAAACCTCCAAGAAGCTCGTGAGAGGCCGAAAGCAATAGGAGCGTCGAAACGACAGGAGTCTTACGCGAGACGAGCAGTTGCTTACTCGGGCCGCCAGCGCTGCACATTGCATTGGAAGCGAGGGCACTTACGCGGGACCTTGTGCGGGAAGCTTACGCGCGAATGTCGGCGCAATGGGCCCGGTTCGGTTCTCCTCCCTCGCTCACATCTGCTGCGCGCTGTTGCTGGTCACTGTGGTGCACGGCGTGCTGGACTTCAAGTCGGCTTGACACCTTTTTTTTTTTCTCAAGGGCCCCTTTCCCCCCATTGTTCAAGGTTAAGCGCCTGCCACACACGTCGACAAGCACGGTGCCGCCTCGATTGTATTCGGAGCCTGGCTTCAAATTGCTTCAGTTCGATATGGTCTCCTGGGATATGGTCAGTCGGCTTGACACCTTTTCTTTACATATGAAAGCAATTCCTACATATGAAAGCAATTCCTACAGCTGCGTGATTTGCCAGGATAGCTTGCTCCAAGACGGCCACGGAGACCGAAGATATCTGAAGATGGCCTCCCAGATGTCTCCAAGACGCATGCGATGGCCCCAAGAGGGCCCAAGAGGGCCGCAAAATGTCTTCAAGACTGCAATAGACCAACATTACTCAAGGATAGCCCAAGACGGACTGAGAGGCCCCCAGAAGGCTTCCGAGAGAACCTCCAGGAAGCCCCCCAGAGGCTTCCGAGAGAATTTCACAACAAAAAACAAGGTCGCTGGCGGCAGCGCGCCAGCCACCTGGGCCTTGCCTGGTATGCCTGTTGATTTAGTTATCCCTCCATGTTCCCCGAAGCGTTCCCGCAACGGCTGGGGGAACACATGATCCGATAGCTTGGCCGAGGTCTGGCCACAACGATTGTCCACAGATGCGCTTCCACAAGGCAGGGGGCGGCGGTGATTCGCGGGAGGCGTCTTCTACTCAAAACCTCATGTTTTTTTCGGGAAGGCTGTCCAGGACCTCAAGACGACCCTCGAGCTCGACGAAGCCCCCAACAGCGTCCAAGGTGGCCCCCAAAGAGCTTGTGGCCAGATGGAGCCAATTAGGGTCTCCGTTGCTCCCCTCTCTACTGCCCCTTGTCGGCGGCGAGCGAGGTGGGGAAGTGAGAAGGAGAAAGCCTTCTCAGAAGATTCGGAAGTCTTCCGGCCTTCTGAGAAGTTTTCAAAGCCTTCCCCGAAATCAAAAAACAACTTCCCATAAGGCGAGAAGGCGTCTGAGAAGGCCTTCTCCTTCTCACTTCCCCCCTCGGTCGCCGCGGATCTTGTTCCCCTGCTGCCCACCTCTGCTCTCGGGTCTCTACTTGTCGGTGGCGTTTCTATTGCGGCCGCCATTGCTTCGTTGTTCTCCTGCTGACTCCCCTGCGGCGCCCTCCTTCCCGCATTCTCCGTCCCTGCGGGTCTCCCTTCGGGGTCGGCGGAGCAACTGGCCGACAAGCCTGTACAATGACGCGTCAAAATACTTCCGACATGGAGATGTCGCCCATTGGCTGTGCTACGTCGGCTACCATGAGTGCTACCGGCTGTGAAGCGAGTCAGATCATGCACCTGACAGTTTGCCCGAATCCACTAATCACGAAGCAAGTCTGTGCACTCTCTCCATTCGGAAAAGCGCCCCTAATACGTCTGTGCATGCCTCAACCGTGCGGATGGTGAGACTGGGGCGAACGTCTGGGAAACTTATGGGGATGGTCGCGTGCACGACCTTCGAGCATTCACACGGCCGTGATACCCTGGTAGGGTCCTGCCCTGCGACAGGGTCATGTACAACATGTCTTCGGGCATACTCGCGTACCGTGTGGCACCGTCCTGCGGAATCCTGCTCATGGTAGGGTGCTGGCAGGGTCCTGACATAGTTCTGTCGAGGTTTATATTCTGGGAGCTGGTCCAGCTAGGGTCTCAGCACGGTCCTGGTAGGGTCAGGGCGCAGGTCAGACAACAACGGGACTCAACATGGAATAATGTAAGGTCTTGGAAGAGTCCTCGTTCTTTTGGAACCTGTCGCGGGAAACTAATAGAGAGTGATCGTCCCCAACGGTCTGCACGGCATCAATCCGTTCAGATACACCTTCCTGCGATGCCAACTACCTCCCTCTTGGAGCCGGAATCAGTGGCAGCGCTCATCTTGTTGAGCAGCTTCTTTGTCTCGTCCTTCTTGCCTTTGAGGTGCTCATTCAAGGCGGCCTGCGCCTTCTTCACGGCTTCCTCGTGCTCCTTATCCCTGCTGTACTCCTCGGCCGAACACGTATGATCCTTCTCCTCCTCCTACTCGTCCCTCCTGATCCTCCTCATCCCCGTGCCGCACAGCCAGTCGAACTCTAGCAAACACCCTCAGACGCAATCAGAGCCATCTCCCCACTGTCTCCTCCCGCTGTCTGCTCACAACCAGCACGGCGAAGACACGCCCCGCCCCCCGCTTCAGCTGGTGATTAGTTGGTGATCGCCGCTTTTTTCCCTGCATCCCCTGCGCCGCATTGCAAACCATGACGCACGCTTCGCCCTGTCCAACCACGTGGCTCATATCCCCCCAGACTGGCCACGATCTTGAACCCCCCCACCTCGCCATCGCTCGGACGTCCGTTCCCCGTGCACTTTTCGGCTCCGTGCGTGTGCACTCTCTCGCCAGGTGACCCAAAAGGCTCCTCGATGGTCCTCGCCGAAAAAAAAAAGCGTACGTCCGAGCGATGCCGAGCCACGCGCTCTCGAGGCCCACCGAGTTTACCGTCGCAGCACTTGCTCCACGGGTGTATGTCCTCGCTCCCCCTCTTCCCCCCTCCCTCCCCCCTCCCTACCCCCCCCCGACCCCCATGCCCCCCTCCTTCCCCCCTCATCCTCCCGAGCACCTCCTCCTCCTGCTGCGCCAGCCTGCGAAACCCAGGGGAGTCGCGTGTCCCGTCTCCTTGTAATGTGGTCCTTCTCCTCCTCCTCCTCCTCCTCCTCTTCCTCCTCCTCACCTTCTTCGTGTCCCCCGCCCCGATGAGGAGAACCCCCCACTCCAACTCTGTGAATTTCTGTGTTTCTGGAATGTGTGGCAATTTGAAGCATAAGGCTCCCTGGGAGGAACTTACGGCCATGGTGGAAATCGTCCGGCACGTTGAGGTGCAACAGTATTCAGCCATAGCCTGTTAATCGTATTGGTCACGTCACAGCTTTCGACACATGCCATGATCACTGCCCGCATCTTTCGAACTCAGATATGTGGTTGAATGCTGGTCGTTGTGAGGTAACTAGATGACAACAGCCTGTGTACCACGGCTATGCCTACACTATCTGTGTTGTGGACGAGCTTGCCTCCAAGAACACCGAAGAATCGGACCAGCCTTCCGAATGACACGGAGCGCGTTGTCGTGAGAGCTAAAACCCGAGAGGGCACCCACGCAGGGACCGAGTCAAGGGGAGGGGTCCCCCCTTCGCTACCTCCCCCTTGGATCTCACCTGTACGAAGCCCCCCCCCTCTCACCTTTGGCGCTCCGGAAGCCCCCCCACCCCCCTTCAAGGCGGGGGGGGGCTTAGCCCACCCCCTCTTGGGCCCCCCTGCCGGAAGCCCCCCCCCCTGCCCTTCCTTCTGCCCTGCGCAGACTACCCCCCCTCCCTCCCTTTGGAAAGTATCCCCCCCTCCCTTTGGACCCCTCCTGCCGGAAATCGCCCCCCCCCCTCCCCCACTTTTGGGTTGAGGAGGGGGGCCTTGGAAGCCCTCCCCATTTGGGCAAAGACAGGTGTCGAAAACCAAACGGGCGCCGAAAACGAACAGAGTGCGAAAACCAAGGGGACGCTGAACACCAATAGGACGCCGATAACTAAAGAGGCGCAGACAACCAAAAGTCGCGCCGAAAACCAAAAGGGTTCCGAGAACCAAAAGGGCTTCGAGAACCAGAAGAGCGCCGAAAACCAAGAGGGCGCCGAAGACCACAAGGGCGCCGAAGACCACAAGGGCGCCGAAAACGAAAGGGGCACCGAGCACTAGAAGGGCGCCGATAACCAAAGGGGCGCCGAAAACCAAAGGGGCACAGAACAAAAAAAAAAAACGTCGAAAAACAAAGGCGCGTCGAAGACCAGGAGGGTGCCGAAAACCAAACGGGCACCGAAAACCAAATGGGCGCCGAAATCCAAAAGGGCGCCAAACACCAAAAAGCCGCCGAATACCAAATGAGCGCCGAAAACCAAACGGGCGCCGAAAACCACAAGGGCGCCGAAAACCAAGAGGGCGCCGAAGACCAAAGAGGCGCCAAAAACTGAAAGGGAGCTGAAAACCGAAGGGGCACCGAAAACCAAAGGAGTGCCGAAAACTAAAGGGCAGCCGAATTCTGAAGAACAAAGGGCGACGAAAACCAAAGGGTGCCGAGAACAGAAAGGGCGCCGAAAACCAAAGGGGCGTCGAAAATCAAACGGGCGCCGAAAACCAATAATGGGGCGCCGAAAACAAACAAAAAACTCCGAAAACCAAAAGGGCGCCGGAAACAAAGAGGGCGCCGAAAACCAAAGGAGCGCCGAAAACAAAAGGGCCGCCGACAACCGACGGATCGCTGAAATCCAAGGGGGCGCTGAGAACCAAAACGGCGCCGAAAACCAAAGGGGCGCCGACAAACGGAAAGGCGCCGAAAACTAAAGAAGCCCCCCAAACCGAATGTGCGCCGAAAACCAAAGGGGCGCCGAAAGCCGAAAGGGCGCCGAAAACCAAAGGGGAGCCGAAAATCAACGATGCCCTGAAAACCAAGAGGGCACTGAAAACCAAAGGGGCGCCGAGAACCAAAAGGGCGCCGAAAACCAGAAGGGCGCTGAAAACCAAAGGGGCGCCGAAAGCCAACAGGGCGGGCGCCGAAAACAACGGGGCGCCGAAAACGAAGGGGGCGCCGACGACCAAAAGGGCGCCGAAAATCAAAGGAGACCGAAAACAAAAAAAGCGCCGAAAACCGAAGGAGCGCCGACAATCAAAAGGGCGCCGAAAACCACATATGCGCTGCAAACCAAAAACAGAGCCGACAACCAAACGTGGCGCCGAAAACGAGAGGGGCGCCGAAAAACAGAAGGGCACCGAAAACCAAAGGGGCGCCGAAAACCAAAGGGGCGCCGAAGACCAATGGAGCGCCGACAACCAAAGGGGCACCGAAAACCAACGGGCCGCCAACAAAAATCAAAAGGGACGCCGGAAACTAAAGGCGCGCCGAGAAACCAAAGGGGCGCCGATAGCCAAATGGGTGCTCAAAACAAAAGTGGGCCGAAAACCGAAGGGGGCGCCGAAAACCGAAGGAGCGCCGAAAACCAAAGGGCCGCCGACAACCGAAGGATCGCCGAAAACCAAGGGGGCGCTGAGAAACAAAACGACGCCGAAAACCAAAGGGGCGTCGAAAACCGAAAAGGCACCGAAAATCAAAAAAGCTCCCCAAACCGAATGTGCGCCGAAAACCAAAAGGGCGCCGGAAGCCGAAGGGGCGCCGAAGACCAACGGAGCGCCGAAAACCAAAAGGGCACCGAAAACCAAAAGGCCACCTAAAACCAAAAAAGGCGCCGGAAACTAAAGGCGCGCCGAGAAACCAAAGGGGCACCGATAGCCAAATGGGCGCTAAAAACAAAAGTGGGCTGAAAACCGAAGGGGCGCCGAAAACCGAAGGAGCGCCGAAAACCAAGGAGCGACGCAAGCTAACGATGCGCCGAAAACCAACAAGGCACCGAAAACAAAAAAAGGCGCGGACAACCCAAAAGGCGCCGACAACCAAGAGGGCGCCAGAAACCAAAGAGGCGCCGCAAACCAAAGAGTGCGCAGGAAACCAGGAAAAGGGTGCCGAGAACCAGAAGGAGCGCCGAGAACCAGGAGCGCCGGAAACCACAGGGGCGCCGAAAACCAAAGGGGCGTCGAAAACCAAAGGGGCGTCTAAAATCAAAGAAACGCCGAAATCCAAAGGGGCGCCGAAAGTCAAAGGCGCGCCGAAAGCCAAAGGAGCGCCGTAAACCACAAGGGCATCGAAAACCAAAATGGCGCCGAAAACCCAAGGGGGAAGGGAGCTTCGAAGCCCCCACCTTTCAGCCGGGGCCCTCCAGCTGGAAATGCCAACAGAAGGAGGGGAGGGGGGGTAGCTTCGGAAATCCCCCCCCCTTGTGGAAATCGGGGTCCGTGCTTACCCCGGGCTCCGAAAAAGGGGGGGAGGGTGGGTAGCTCCCAAGTCCCTAGTCAGGGATCCCCCAGCTACCATGCTACAACATCCAATCCAGACAAATGGGGTGGTGGTAGCTTCGGAAGCCCCCTCCCTTTCAGCTGGCCCCCCCCCAGCTACAAGATGCCGACCCAAGGCGGGGGGGGGTAGCTTGGGAAGTCCCCCTCCGCCTTGTCCAAGGGAGGGGGAGGGGTATCTGGAAGCTGGGCGCCCCCCTTTTCTTATTCCCGTCCGCTGCGTGGGCGCTCATTCTAAAATCCCAACAGGCTCAATCGGAGGTGAGCTCCCTTAATCTTAAGTCGGGCATGTCCCTCTACAGCAGTAAAGTTCAAACATAGTTAAACAAACACTCGGGGAATGTTTTTTTTGACATCTGTCTTGCCATTTTGATGTATTTTTTTGCATTTTTGCATTTTTTTCGTTCCAAATCCCCCTGTAGAAGGACCCGCCCGACCTAACCTGAATCCAGAATTGCCAGCACCTTTTGGAGCATGTGGCGGCCACTTGCTGGAACCGCTTCTGCGTGCCAGCTTATGGCCCGTGTGAACAAGGGCTTTCGGGACCATGCAATGTCAGCTCCAGGCTGGTTGGGGATGGGGAAACTGGGTTGGTTCTGAAGCGGTCAAGGTTTTGACAAAGTGCCGCCCTCGTTCCAACGTGGGGGATGGGCAGAAACCCCTTTGGCAAACTATCCCTTCGCGAAGGCGACCTAGAACCCGACCCGGCGGGCACACAGACCAGCAAAAAGTGCGGCCGCAGCATCCTCGAGTGAACCCAAACATGGCAGTCTGCCAATCGACTTGGCAGGGCGAGGATTCTATCAACCTCCGACGGGTTTGATGGAGGCCTCTCGAATGGGGTCCGAATAGACAGGGTCGGAAGATCGCGCCTCATCGCCGATGCATCGGCGACGTCGGCCGTGCATCGGCGACGTCGGCGTGGAGAACCTCAGGCTGACTTCATGGTTCCGGCTCTGACCTTCCCGATCTTATGGCCTCGGTCATAGTCCCCACCCGAGCCGGTCCCGGGGACTCGGTCGAGACCCCGTGGAGGTGGACGTTATGAACACATGATGACGTCGGG